GTCTTCGGTTGAGTTGAGTCTTTTGCAGACACGGTGTCCTGCATTTCTGTGATGGTTTCTCGACATGCGGCAGTGCAAACGAAGATTCAGCACAGCAGAGTGAGGCTGGATGCGTTGTACAAGTCAACTGGCGATCATAAAGCGCAAGCGAGTCGGCTTTTGCTGACTGTGCAGAGGCAGCTTAGCTGTTGTTTAATGTTGCCGTCGTCATCATTACCATGGCGAGTAATAGTAGTCGTCGTGGTTGGTGGTCGCCATAGTCATTGCTAGTGGCAGAAACCATAGATACCCAGCAGCAGTACGAGGAGTACTGTCAGTGGTAGTCGTCGTCCTCCTCACATTGCTATTGGAGCGGTAGTCGCCGGGTTGGAGGAGAAGGCATAGGTGTGGAGCCCTGCTTGAAAAAATCGTTGTAGCAGTCGCAGTAGCAGCAGCAGTAGCGGCCGTAGTCGCAGTCGCAGAAGTGGTAGTAGAGTAGTAGTAGTAGTAGTAGTAGTAGTAGTAGTAGTAGTAGTAGTAGTAGTAGTAGTAGTAGTAGTAGTAGTAGTGGTAGTGGTAGTGGTAGTGGTAGTGGTAGTGGTAGTGGTAGTGGTAGTGGTAGTGGTAGTGGTAGTGGTAGTGGTAGTGGTAGTGGTAGCAGTAGTAGTAGTAGTAGTAGTAGCAGCTGTAGCTCAGTAGCAGTAGTAAGCAGCAGCAGGAGGTGTAGGAGGAGTGGCAGCAGCCGCAGTACAGTGGCAGAGGGAGACAGCGTTGCATTTCTTCTACAGAAGCAGGAGCACCAGAAGCGATTTAGAATGACGTTGGTGCTATACTGATTACTGTGGTCGTTGTGGTGCTTGTGTCGAGGCATTGGACCACAGCCTCGGACCTCGAATAATTTGAGCAACAGACCAGTACCATATCCACCGACATCGACGATACTCATGATGATCGTCATTTTTTCTCAGTCGTTACCTTTGCGACCTATTGGCTCACGGGCATCACATGTGCCTGGTCGTGCCGCCATCATCATGATCAGCTTCCTTGTCGGTCTTCGTGCATGCATGTCTTGGAGTGGCCGGCAATCGTGCATGTGTGGTTCTTTGTTGTGCGCCTTTACATGGAGTCAGCTGCAGCATGTCATTTGCTAGACAACAATGTCGATCAGGCCAATGACGCCAAAGCGCCCGATGGAGATCATGCAAGACAACATAGACGGGCCACGCCAGCTGGAGATTCAACCAGATGCCGCTAGCAAGCATCTCGTGGTTTTTTGGAAATCCCTGTGCCTTGGTTGGAAGATAATCACGACCCCACGCTCGAGGTGCGAATTGTACACGTAAACTTCGCCGATGGCTGCTGCGAGACGGAGCAGGAGAAGTCATCAAGAACGGCACTGCAATTTGGGGCAGCTTGATTACCATGGTGTGACCAAACTGATTCCAATGAGTTTGCTTGGCATTTCGTGGAGTTCGCGTGCTTCGTCATGCTCGGGGCCTGCGATTCCCAGGGTTGCATGCCGTCTTTGTTTTAGGTCATTCATGGTTTAAAATTGCCAAGGCAGAACAGCATCACGGTATTGCCGTATACGCCTTCAGTAACCGCTACAACTTAGGCAGCCGCATCGCATGTTGCATGCTTCTCGCACATCAGGCCAATGAGTCGCGACCATTGAGAGGGGACTTTCTCACCGCAGCCTTCCGCGAGCGCAACGAGCATTTGCTGAAGTGGGTGCGTGGCGGCTGGACAGCATCCTTGTCAAGTCGCAGTTTCCAGAGCATAAGAAGCTCAAGTTTCCCGTGGCATCAAGTTGTCAGTGAGAGACAGAACAGTCTCTGTGCGGCTGTCAGCTGTCAAGCGAGTTCGCCAGGTCGCGACTTAACCTTGGGAAAGACCCCCTCAGGCAAGGTTGGCTATTATGTCCCTCGGCATGATGGCTCGCTCTGCAAAATGGGCCATCCGGGCATTGAATGAATTCACGAGAGCTGCCCAGTGAGGTTTGGAAGCCCTTTGTCGTGCTGGAAACCTTGAAGGACCCATCGATTGGATGGAACGACATCGTGCCCGAGCTGAATCGTGCGTGGAAGATCGTATCTTTGTGCTGTGTAAATGTTGCTGCCAGTCCTTGCTGTCTTCAGGCATGTTGAATCTAAGGTGCTATGGACAGATGCTGGCGTGCATTTCATCAGGGAGCATCCCGACTGCACAGCCTCACCTGCGCAGCCAATTCGTACGTCATGAAGACGAGCGCGGGCAAACGGTAGGTGTGCTCCGTGAGTTCTCTTGTGTTGTTTGCTGTGCAGAACATTTTCAGTCCCTGGCCCCTCGAACCAAAAGGCATGGACCTCATCGTTCCGCTTTCGGCCTGCAGAAGATTAAGTCAAGCATATCCAATCATTCAAGCCATGCTAAGGGAGAGAGCAACAGAGACTTGAAGAGACAGAGTGAGCAAAGAGGGTTTCTGTGCAAGCTCAACAGCCGCTTAATGAATGTGTCCACGAGTCTTTGCCAAGGTTGCGGCCATTAGTCGAGCGCTACTTGGCGAATTCTGACATATCTGAGCCTTGGACAAGCAAGCAGACGAGAACAACGGTCGACGAAGTTGTGTCGGGGATGAGTTGGCACTTCCCAGGCAACACAGACACCCATGATGGAAGGCGACGTGACCAAACGCGACGCTCAGCACGACTTGCTGCCATGCTTGAGTCTGTTCCTGTCCTTTGCGGTGCCTGGTGCAATTTGATCGAGCTTGCTCTACTCAGCGTTTCAGTTACCTGATTGTTGGATTTCTACTTCACATCGGTTGGCTGACCTAATTAGAGCCTTGTTATACCCTACTGTACCCCTACCCATGGTCCGGTTCCCCGCCGATTTCAGATCAGCAGGTGGCCGTTTGTTTGTTTGGCGTCCAAGCTGTGTTCCTTAAGATCTTTGTAGAGGCCTCGAGTTCTTCAAGCTCTAATTTTGGAGATCACCCTGAAGCCCAACCATCCAAACATCAGCAAAGGATGCCTTCATCCTGCTGGACGCGGACCATGTTCCCTGACAGACTGGCAGTAGCAGCCGAAGCTTCCTCCCGCGATGACTGTATCTGAGGACAGTATCGTCCGAACCAGCCAGATGGCTACAGGAGCTCTCACACCCCCTCTCTCCCTAATCCCTCATCTTTTGTCCAAGTTCAGGGCGCTGTGTTGCATGTCTTCATGCTCAGATTGCTGCGTGGTTGCTTCACACTACTTCACTTTCAAAGGGATTCCAGATTGCAGGAATCATCCTGGTGCGCAAGACGCCGCTGGCAATGCGGTTCATGGAGAACTGGTTGAGCGCATGCGAGGACGAGCGGATCATCACCGAAACACCATCGGCCCCCTGGGAGCATGATGGGTTTAGGGTTCAGGGACTGGCCGGACTTGAGAGTCCAGTGGCAAAAAGGGACCCCAAAGCCTAAACCTTGATGGGTTTCAGTTCAGGCTGGCGACCCGAAGCTCCGTGCAAACGGTTCCGAGAGGGTTCGCCAAGATAGGGCAATTGGGATGTGTTCTTTTCAACCTCTTGCTTGGTGTGGTGCAATGTTCAAGCCAAGCCATGGCCTGAGCAGGGGTCCTGCTTTGGCTCGGGTGCACACGAATCAAGCTTTCTTCTTTCTGGTCTTGGATGTTTGAAGGTTTCAGAAAAGTTTAGATTCTCCCGGTCTCCAACAGGATGTTGGAATCCGGCCGATGAGACAGGGGTCCGCGCCAATGTGTACCGACTTTGATTGACGCCGTGGCATAATATCATCGTAAAAGTTGCCTGCGCCCGGGCTCCATCAGTTTCGGCTGCTAGCCAACACGAGACACCTTCCATGCACTCAGGCACTTGGAGTTCCGGACTACCCGAACTTCAGACACCACAACGACGATCAATCTGCCTTTTCCCTATTGTTCAAGATCTTCGGCTTGTTCAGGATATGTTTTTCAGCCGGTGACATGGCCTGCTGTGAAATACAGCGGGTTCTGAAATGGAGGGGTACAGCATGCTCCACTTCTCTGAATCTGAGGAAGTACGGCTTCCACCCATTTTTGCAAGCAGAGCGTGACCTCTACGTGGTCGCTGCTCGCAACACTGCCAAGTTTGTGGCGGCCTCGCACCTTGGCCTTAATGTAGGGGCTTAAATAAGTATTACCATCTAGTATAAATGGCCCCAAAACCTTATTCAAATTATTAAGGCCCCTATATTAGGCTGAATTCCTTGCGGCTTGAGCTCCCCCCGTGCCTGAAGGTGCTGCAAGGATGTGGGGTTGACATGCCAATATTCCTAGACTTGTTATGCTTGTGCTCTTTGCCACTGCAGTCGCGGAACTGCATACATAGACGGAGGGATCGCTCATGGTGTCACAAGACATGCAGGACCCAGATGCCAGTGTTTCGATTCCGATCCTACGATGAAATCGGACTTCAGCTCACCTCTTATAGTTGGGCCTCGGGCATGCACGCTGCGGTTTGGTGTCATGTTGGGAGGCGGACATGCATTGGGGCGAGCCAGAACCCTTATAAAACCCATTCAGCCTGAAGCATACCTGGATTCTTTTGCGCGACACTCGCTCGCAGTTCAATTCCAAGGGATGCCTTCGCGCTGGGAAAGAGCTGCTCTCAGGATGATTTGCATCTTTTGCGGTTGGCTTCAGGGACAGGAGCAAGCAGGTAACGGCTCGTGGCTCGAGAACATTGGGTTGAAGAATTTCCGGTTTTCTGGGACTCCAAGATCCCACTCTCGCCCGATGCAGGATGAGTATCTTTCTGCCGCGAATGCTGCCGCCGAGAGCACCTCCTGACGTTTCGCGACGAAAATCTTGAACTTCGTGCGGCACTGTGCAGTCGCTGCGCAGTGCTGTCCATAACTTTCTGCACTGAGAGTCTGAGAGCAGGGAGCATGCGTGCTAGAGTGCAAGAACTATAGTGGGTTTCACATTGCTGATTCTTGTGCCACGGCTGGGCTCAGGGAAGCGTTAGTTGGACGGTTCGCGGCCACCTTGTTTGCCATGGCCAAATCAAGACCTGCGCGTAGGATTGCTCTAGCAGCGTTTACGATTGCTTTGGTGGCACAGCCCGGGGCCCAACTGTAATGTCGCAGCATACTGCAAGTTATATCACTGCACCAGGTGAAGAGTCCGTGACATCCAGCGAGCAAAGGGACGAAGTGCAATATCAGTGCTCTTCGAATGCTCCGTAAGAGATGTCAGGTCCGTGGATTTTGTTGGCTTCGGCACCGGAGCGCGCAGCTCCCGCATTTCCCTTCGTGCTGTCTGTGCACAAGTGAAAGAGCCGCCGGCCGAAGGCCTGAGCCTTTCCGTAGAGACGGACCGTAGCCATGAGTGTGCTTTCCCGTGGTGATAGACCGTGTTGTTTAACGATGTTTAATGCAAGCCCGGACATCTCAGTAGGCGATGCAGATACCTAGCAAGGCTGATTTGCTGGAAGGCCTTGAGATACTTAAAATCCCTGCTTCTGACTGCCCATAAACCTTGGACAGGTGACCGAGTCGTCGTTGATGGCAGCGACGGGCCGATTGCGGCTCGGCACATGAGGCACATAACTGATAATCCATTCTGCTTGAGAGTCCTTTGGGCGGTGAGGTCGTGGCAAAAATCGACGGCAAGTACTATGCCGTGGCTTGTCTGGACAGCACGCACAGAAATCTAGGGCTGCAGAAGCAGGCAGCGGCGCCGGGCAGCAGACTCGCAATCGCCGAGCCAGGTGGATGCAAAGTGTCCTCATCTCAACCTCCCCATGAAGAAGGGCAAGATCGAAAATGGGCAGCTGAGCTCAGGAACGGTGCATTTCGAAGATGCATTGGCCCTGCTCATCCCTGCCCCCAAAGCCTCAAAGCGCTGTCCTAGCTTGCTGCAGACATATCATTGGCGTGTGCAAGAGTGAATGGACATAGCTGCCATGACCCCTTTTGCCCTTGCTACCCTTTCAATGAGCCTGCCGCCATGTTCGAAATTTAGTGCCGCTGCACCAAAGTCAGTGATGAGACATGCCCCACTAAATATACGGAGAGCTTGCACTGCTCACTTTAGAAATCCATGCACGGCTGCACTTCCTACAGTTGATCAACCGTATTTGTGCGTGTGGCATTATAGTCATACACGATGTGGGAATTCGGCACTCAACATCTCGACCGCTCAACTTTGCAAGCAGTGTGCCGTGCCCAGGCCGGATGGTCCGAAGCTCACATGCAACTTCCACAACTCGCAGCCTCGGTCTCAATTCCTCAAGCGTGGGACGATTGTTGCCATTGCCGGATGCTATGTTGTTTGGTACGAGCTGCGGAGGCACTTTCGGTAACGTAAATGCTTCACACGCAGATCCTGCGGTGCCGTGCGTGCCAGGTTTAACATGAAGGACGGCTTGTGCACCAGGCTGTCCGGTTTTGAAGACAGCGGTTTTAGCCATCGGCAAGACTGATTTCGTAGCATATGGTATAATAAGTACGGAGAGAACGAGTGAGGCGATCGTAGGCATAGCGGCACACACCTCTACATATCCTTTGTTCAGCGAGTCGGTTGAGAGTGGGGAGTATAGTGGGGAGTTTGCACTGAGTTTGATCATGTTGGAAATCGCCCTCCGACTTGCGGTACGGATCAGCACGGCAAATCCGATTGCGTCCATCTTATGCAAAAACAGTGTCCTCTGCCCGAAACGCGTCCCAGACAGGAAGCTGCATTAAACGCAGGTGGGTCACTGGCGCTTTGGGCTTCGAGAATGATTTCATCGCCGGGGTAATGCTGGAATCTCAGCTGGATGCTTGCTGAGGCCACCATGTCAACCTCAATTCTAGAGCTGCGCGTGCCGCTTCTTCTTGCACTGCAGTCCAAAAAGGCAACTTCCATGCCCAGGCTCTCTTCCGACGCTACAGAATCGCACAGTATCGCTCTCTGAGCGAGTTCGTTAAGAAACCAAATGCGAGTTTCCGAAAATAGGGGACCCAAATATCGTACCCAAATCTAGGAACTCCCAAATGGCTCGTACCCGCCGAAGCTTTCTCTCCAGGTCCAATGTGGGCGGCGAGAAAAAGAATTTGCAAGCTTACGAGGCCATGAGGACAAAGCGGCCATGGGTTTGATTGCTGTATATATATATATATATATATATATAGGTATATATATATATATATATATATGGGTAGGTAGTCATTCCCCCACCCCTGCATTTCTGCAACTTTTCTTTTATATTCATGGATTCTGCTACCTGGCTTCGAAACTAGTGTCTGTTTCGAAACATATCCGCAGGAGGCCCCAACCCGACCCATTAACCCATTAACCCAATCAGTCGCCCAACCCATTAACCCATTAACCCAATCATTTGCCCAACCCATTAACCCATTAACCCAATCATTCTGGCCAAATGAAATTTCCTTAACCCATTAACCCATTAACCCAATCAGTCGCCCAACCCATTAACCCATTAACCCAATCATTTGCCCAACCCATTAACCCATTAACCCAATCATTCTGGCCAAATGAAATTTCCTTAACCCATTAACCCATTAACCCAATCATTTGCCCAACCCATTAACCCATTAACCCATTAACCCAATCATTCTGGCCAAATGGATTTGCCTTAACCCATTAACCCATTAACCCATTGACCCAATCATTTGCCCAACCCATTAACCCATTAACCCAATGATTTGCCCAAGTGGGACTGGACTCTACTCCCAAGTTCAGTTGGCCAGATTGATTGGGTTAATGGGTAAATGGGTTAAGGCAATTTCATTTGGCCAGAATGATTGGGTTAATGGGTTAATGGGTTGGGCAACTGATTGGGTTAATGGGTTAGTGGGTTGGGCGACTGATTGGGCTAATGGGTTAATGGGTTACGGCAATTTCATTTGGCCAGAATGATTGGGTTAATGGGTTAATGGGTTGGGCAAATGATTGGGTGAATGGGTTAATGGGTTAATGGGTTAAGGCAATTTCATTTGGCCAGAATGATTGGGTTAGTGGGTTAATGGGTTATGGCAATTTCATTTGGCCAGAATGATTGGGTTAATGGGTTAATGGGTTAAGGAAATTTCATTTGGCCAGAATGATTGGGTCAATGGGTTAATGGATTGGGCAACTGATTGGGTGAATGGGTTAAGGCAATTTCATTTGGCCAGAATGATCGGGTTATTGGGTTAATGGGTTAACGGGTTAACCGGTTAATGGGTTAATGGGTTAACGGGTTAAGGCAAGTTCATTTGGCCAGAATGATTGGGTTAATGGGTTAATGGGTCAATGAGTCAACGGGTCAATGTGTTAATGGGTTACATACTGGGTTGGGGCCGTGGCAGGCGCGTGTTTCGAAACATACGCTGTGTTTCGAAACTCACGCCTAGCTATAGCCCGCTACAGGTTAAACGTTACGTAAACTGACAGTTGTTCCAAGCAGAGCGAGCTATGTATATATATATATAAGAGTAAGATCAGGCCTCTGGCATTACGAGTGTGAGAACTGACAGCACAACAAACTGATGCCCGGTTCGCTTCACCAAGTTGTCAAGAGTCAAAGCACCGAAAGCCTTAAGGATCAGTAATTCATGACCTATTCCATTAGATCATATTGAACTATGTTGTCTTGTTTTACATATGGTTCAAAATATACTTTTCTCTCCCTATCCCACAGTGGCTGAAGATTTTGCAAATGCATACGACTGTGTGGTACTATGTAGCATCTATATGCTGTCAACTATATACGAAACCGAACTGGTATCTACTGTAGCCTATGCTGTCGGCTCTAGGCTATACTACAGACCGATATTGCAGATTATACTATACACCATAATACTATACTACAGACTATATTGCAGACTAGACTATAAACCATAGGCGTTAGTGTACAATGTACTTGTTCTGCACGAAAGACTATTCCATGAGCTCGAGGAGACACATAATACATACCATGTCATGTACTATGCTCTCTAGTATACGCTATTTTCTAGGCAGTATACAACATTGTGATCTACACTAAACTTTTACAGTTCACTATAATCTTCTTTCCTACACTATGCTTTACTATACAGGTATCTTATGCGTAATTTTGTTACAAGTTGCATTCTACATAGTTGTTATCATACATAAGCCCAAGAAATGATATCCTATCATGCTGTGCGGCATATGTTAGTCTGCTACTGATACTATATTCTTCCAAACATTGTGTTGTACCATCTTTTGATGCATGGGTTATTTTGAGTTAGACACAGATCATAATGGGCTATACAACATGAGAGTATATTACATGTGGTACCAAAGGCTTGGTTATATTAGGTCATCTCACCCTGTACCGCGTCGTATCTATGTTAAACATCTGGGTATGACTCAGTATTTCACATTATTTTTCATTTGCAAAATACTTGATGTAACGGCTGATGCTATACACTGGAATAGAATCGTATAGTACCATATAACGTAGTCCATGATAGAATATGTTATGCTCCAATACAGCACGACTTAAGTTGGCATGGTACAGTAAACATTTTGATGTGATGTAACCTGAAAAGAAAAAGTATCTGACAACCAGATGCATGCTCTATGTGACACAATACAGTCTACGACCATCAGATATAGCGTGGCGAATGCCATACGGAGAAAAGCAGTATTCTATCATGCTAGAGTACATTCTGTCTTATATCATTGTGTCGCACGAAATACTGCACATCTCCTAGATATTGTATGTTATATACTCTGAACCGTGTATGTGCCATAGTTTCTGCTATGTGATTTGAAATATATCGGTTTATAATTATACCATACTTCGTGGTATGGGGCATCTTATGCGTAATTTTGTTAGAACCGTGTATGTGCCATATTTTCTTTCATGTGTTTTGAAATATATGGGCTTATAATTATACCGTACTTCGCGGTATGGGGCATGACTGCGCACCCTTCGCACTGTATTGTATTGGGCGCAATACCGAAGATGCTGAAGTGTAGGGGTGGGGGAATGACCACGCGCCCATATATATATGTATATTTTGGTGTTTCGCTTGCAACTTACAGCATATGCGTAGCCAATGTCATGGCAGAGCATGCCAGAGAAGATGAGTAGGAAGAGGGAGAAAGGGTTCCGGCTGTGTTAATATCTTTCTCGGACCATGTGCCGTAAGCATTCCCTTGCACTTGTCAGATCGTCGTATGAGACCTTGCCAGGCTTGTCCCAGTGCGAGTGGCAAAAGAAATCTTGGACGGTTCAAGCCTGCGTTGGCTTGACAGGTTGTCGAAGCGGATGCCAGACCCTAAGTGCAGCATGGGTCTGGTTCGAGGGCCTCAAGCAGTGACATGCGACTATGCATCAGACCACGTGCTTGCCTTCCGGGATAGCCGATTCCACGGTTTCTCTCGACTTTTTTTGATTAGACCGCGCATTGACGGTTGTTGAGCCTGCCGCAACAAGGATGGATCTCTTTCTGTGGTGCTTCCCAGCTCGTGACGAAGATCGAGCATTCAGCTTGGCCGTCGTTGTACATACTATATGAGTGAAAGTAGTAGCGTTAGGGTAGAGCAATGAAACATGAAGGGATTCGGACTGCTAACAGCTGTCCGAGTTGTCTCGCCGACAGCTGTGGTGGCAGTGAAAGGGGATCGCTTCTTGCCATGCCTGGTGCACGCAGCTCGAATGATTCGTGGCATTTCAGAAAGTTCACCTCACGGTCGAATCCAGAGGTTTCTCAATGCTTTGCCTCCCAATCTGGACGTTGCAACCATGCGGCCACAAATTAGCAATACATGCAAGGATGGCAAGTCACAACAGCCATACAGCCCCCGAAAGTCCTTACAGTACACTATTTGTATAAAGTAAATCAATACTAAATGGATGCCAGAACGCTTACATCACCTTTGCAACAGTGTAAACAGAGAGGTCAAGCAGTGCTACGCCTGGCCCATACGTCGAAGCAATGCAGTTTGTAATTGCTGCAGCACCAAGCTAGCTCAACTTGGGTTGGCTGCCAGTTTCTGGCACCAAGTGACCACAACTTCCCCAAGCCTCTTCCACAGCCCTCAGTGAAACATAGTGAAACAAGCTCCTTGTCTAAGCTATGTCTGCCGCCCTGCTTCCTCCAGAGGTGGAGCGTGCCACTGGGCGCAGACACACGTGGTAGCTCGTGCAGAGTTGCATGCGTTAAGCGCCAAGTGAACGCATGTATCATCTACTACAACATACCATTCGTAAACCAGAATATCATATACTATATACTATATATAGCATTGTACTATCATGTACCCTTAAATCATCTACTAGCAAACCTTGAAAATACTGTATATTCGAGACCTTGGCCGAGGCGTTTCGGCAGAAGCCTGGGCTACGAGAATCTTTGGACGAGGCCCCGTGTACTATAGGAGCCTTAAGAATTACCTATCCTATTTTGGGGGTTCCTGATTTTAGCTATAGTATAGCGGGCCCCGAAACTTTGTTCTAATTCCAAAAAACCCTATTCTAATTATTAAGGCCCTTACATTGAATTGCTTTTTATGCTCCGTGTGAAGAGACCCTGAGCCCATGAAAGGGCAGGCAAAGAACTGGGCGACTACCTTCGGAAGCGAGTGCTTGTTCGGCGGCGTCTGGCTCAGCAGCACTGAAGGCCTATGTGCAAATTCGCGGGCCATTTCGGTGGTGAGGTGGCGTGAGGCAATCAGACCCGCACGGGAGCTTGCTTACAGTGGATGGGGGAGACTTCTGGCATGTACCTGTAGCTGGCCCCAGCAGCCTAAGCCCGACAATACACGACTTACAGGGATGGTTCCAGTGTGCTTTGCGCATGGCGCCCACGGCGCGCTTGCGCGGCTTGTTTTGTCCGTATTGTTGACACTGGCAAGTGCGGGCGATGGCATACCCATCAAAGAGCATCTTGGCAGCCAGTTATCCTTTCAGATTTCAGCCCTGCCGAGGTCTGTGTGTTTGTGTGTGTGTGTGTTTGTTCGCATTATGTTCTCAGAGAGTAGTAGGAGCTAACCTGAAGTTGCTTCGTAGATCTGCTGCTGTCAGTCAGGAACTGGCAGGATGTGTGGCGAACCGATGTCACCAAGTGTACAAAGGACAACCTGGCCATGTTCACCGATGCCAAGGGAAAGCAGAGAACCAGGACAGTGACGGCAGAATTACTCCCTCAAGCTCAAACTTTGACTACGTCTCGGAATGTTGATTTTCTGTGTATGTCCATTTCCCCAAGTGTTGCTTCATGTCTCGGCCCACTCGGTCCTGAAAGCCAGGGCTGTGAGATTCTGGCGAAGCGTTACGGGAAACTTCTGGCGGACGAGACTGCTTCTAACCTGACGAAATGCGCAACACCTCAAGCCTTGGATCTGCTGGAGGCCAGGGCAGCCCAAGCCTCCAAGCCTGGTAATGCCTGGAATTTTTGCGAAACCTAATCGCGACTGGTGAAACGACGGGCGCCCTTGCTGTTGAGACTTCCGCGTGCACTGAAGCATGCTCGCGCTTGCGCACGCCGTCATGCTCACATGCATAGCAAGTTGCCTGAATGCCCCCGATATAGAAAGCGTAAAAGTGTGTAAAGTGAAGGGCTGAGGCCACTGCGCTTTTGAGATCTTTTGAGGAGGTTGGAGGAGATGACGAAGATCATTGCCGACCGAATCGTAGCCAAGACAGCGCGAGAGGAGGCAGAGAAGAGGGCAAAAGAGAGCAAGGCGAAGGCGGGCCAAGCTTCTGGTCGAAAGCTCTCAAAGAAAGAGAGGATGAAGCAGGAACTGAGTGGACACCTGGGCCAGATGTTCGGTGAGTTAAAGGACAGCTCGGCCGCTGACGCCAAGAAGGATGAGGACAGCGGCAGTATGAAGCCTTCTGGGACCATGGGAAGGGAAGCCATTTTTCCACAAGGGCAGTGCAGCAATCGAAGCTAAGTCGAGTATCACCCACAACTTTCTCAGTTGTTCTGCCCTGAAGGAGATGTACCAGGCAGTCTTCCAGCAAGGAGAGCAGATGATCCACCGCATAGCGCAGCAGGCCAAGCTGCCGATGAACACCGAGGCAATGGTGACGAAACGTGTCCCCATCCATGTCCTCCTCCCCCTCTCCCTCCTCCTCCTTCCCCTTCGGCTTCTCCTGCTCCTCCTCCTTATCTTCCACTATGCTGTAAGCAGCAAACCGGGGCACACGTCGGGACCCTGAGGTGACGCTGCGCGAGTGGTGCCCGGCCTGCCTTCAGTTTTCCGACACCTAACCTGCAGAAGCACGGGAAACCGGGTGAAGATGTTGTTGATCTAGCATTTAGTCCATAAGTGCTTTCGGGCCCGGGCATGGGTCGTCGTGTTGTTGAAGACACCACGAGTGAACCAAGATGCAATTATTTGTGTTATGTGTGTTCTGGCGGAATGATCTTGAAGGCTTGTAATGACTTGGCATGACCTGCCTGTCTCCCAGCAGAGGTTTTTCTTGTAGAGAACCCACATTCAATGATTCAAGCTTATGTTCACGGAGTGCGACGAGGTAGCTTCGTTGCGACTGTAGCGTGAGGAATACTGAATGGGGGGAAGGAGAGCCGACATGGAAACAAGTTTGAGGTGCGACATGGCTTGGCGTGCTGGCCGGTTTTCTCCACTGGATCCGGAGCCCATGCTGCTAGCGGGTCCAGCCTAGCATCAAAGTGGAAACGTGCGCCAAGATGTTGATTCTCATGGCTTGGCAGGACAAGCCCAAAAAGGAGGAGGACTTCCCGGACGAGGATGCAGAGGCATCAGGGACGAAGTCAGTCTGCATGTGCACAGCATGTACCACTATCGAGTTGTTACAATGGCGGTTGCAGTGGTTGTGTTGACATGACGATCAGGACACCCCACAAATTGAGCTGTGAGATGCTTCACTCAACCTCAACGCGTTCGACAAGGGTGGCCGGGACCCTCCTGGTAGCCTGCAAGTTCTACCTGCAGCAGTCGACTTCGATGCCTACATTACGTTGCTGCACATTGAGGGCAACCGTCATGAGTGCTGGCAGGTTCTCTCCAGGTCACCGCAGCCTAGCATTAGCCCCCCAGGCTGCTGCAAGAGTGTCCCGAGATTTGTGGAAGCTTTGCGCCGGAGAAAGATCGGAAAATGGAAATCTCCAGGGCAGGATAGTGGCATTGATTCAGGGTCTTTAGCACAATGGAGCTCGAGAGCTTTAAGATTGGCAGGGAGCTCTCCAAGCACTCACCCGGGCAAATCCAGAACGAGCAGCCCAGGCTGCAGCCTGAGCTCACCTGCTTCTCTTGCTTTCTCTGTAGCCCTACTTGACCGGTGTCACGGTGGTTCAAGGTGATCGATGAGCTTGCCTCGAAGTCGGATGCCCGGTCCCTAGCCACCTTTGCCGGTCCACAAGAGGTGGCAAGGCTGAGCCAGCCTGCCATAGTGGCGCAGGGCAGAGGCACAAGGCAGTGCGCAGTCGAACCCCAGCAGCAGTTCAGGCGTTCGCTTTGTTCGTTGTTTCTCTACCAGTCAAGTTCGAAGGTTCGGAACCCATCGGCATTTGTGTCGTCAACGATCGCGAAGGTCCAGTCTGCCTGCTGACCAGCGTGCAGAATCCTTCTCGTGAGTGTTGCCTGCCAGTACCCTATGCTGCGCCCAAATCTACGGCAGCACAATGCCAACTTGATCTCTGGTGCAGCTCCACCCAGGCTGGGGCTGGATGCTAGATACATGAGATGGGCCTTAAATTATCTTCAAGTGCTCCGGGCTCCGGATCCGAAGCGACAATTATATAAAAGCCGAAGCAAAGAAGGCGAAATCTGTACGTAGAAGTTTCGGCGACCACAAGGAGTAGGATGATACTTGCCACCGCAGACCTGATCACTCCGCTTCCAGGAGTATCTACGAGGTGCTTCAAAGACACCCTGGTTTGGAAAAGGCCGGACGAGTTCGAAAACTGGGAGGCATGATCGTCTTGACCTGCTTTTGCTCGCCAGGCACTGGATGCAATCGCCTTGCGGCGCTTGGAGGAGGCACTGGGGCAGGAACACCGTTTGATCCTGGAAGTCAGGCGAGGTAGCCGGTGCCCAAGCAATGTGGTCCAGCATGAATCGCGCAGTGAGCGTAGATTGAATGCAAAGCACGCTACGAACGAAATGCAGCCTAAAGCAAAAATGCATGATCCAGCCATCCAGAGGCATCGCGATTCGTCGTCCGAGAATTTTTTTCAACCACATAAGCCCAAGGAGCATCAATCTTCACGGCCTGGCATCGAAAGATACAGCTCCAACGGCTTGAAATGACTTCGCAGGCAAAGGACAACGAGCGTTACGGCAAACATGCGGACTTGAACGGCAACAGCCCAATGGCTGGAGTCCTGTAATAAGAGATGACATGTATCGCACCCCAACACGACGAACCGGGGCGGTTTGTAGGTGGACATCGATCGTGCGGCGGACCTCCTCGACGACCTAGCACAGCGGCGGGGCGTAAAGCACCCAGCAAGGCAGCGAAGGTATGTTCTCATGCGAGCACAGGCCAGCGTTGACATTTACTCTCAATCGGGTTCGGGTGGGGGGCCGCTGTAGGTGCAGTCGTGGTACATCTCACGCAAGCGGGCAATGGTGCAAATGCTGCTTCCTTTGATTTGCTTCGTCCCCCCGGAGGAAGTGCTCGATTCAGATCCCTTGACTACACTCCACCAACAACCCAAGCCACGAGATGCCCAGACTGCGTTCCCTTCAAGCCGTGATGCATCAGCCCCAAACTTCGCACCGCCCTGTTGAGGTCCGAAATCCGTCAGCGTTCATCGTGCACGTGCTCGGAAGGTTCGACTTGCGGCTCAAACTTTCTCGGCCCAACCTCCAGCTGTTTTTCCTGAGCTGCAGCACAGCTTTGAGAGGGCTCGTCCATCGACCCCACCCTGGAAGTGGCTCCAGCTGATGCGTCGATACAATTATTGTGGCAACACCTCTATTAAATTACATTGCCAAGCGATGCGAAACATGCACACTTCACCTGTAGCTATGTTCTGCACTTCATCACCACAATGCTTTCATGACTATTGCAACCTTGCAGTTTGGCTTTCGACACATGCAGGTGTGTATGAGTGAGCAAACGAGTCAATGGCACGCAATGCATTCGATCAGTTTAGTTGAACTTTGCATTTCTGAAGAACGAGGGTGGTACCACCGCAGGTCCACTCCGGCTTATGATGAGCAAGAAGGGGAGGATCGGCTTTGCAACAGTCGTAGCTTGCACTGCCGCAGGTCTACTCGTGCCTGATTTTCCTGTGTGTTGGTTTGCAGGTAGACCGAATCCTTCAGTCATATCCTCACATCCGTGAGCGCTTGGACAGCCAGGCCCGAGGGGATCATCTGCGGAGGTTTCAGGTGGCAGTCTGCTATAACAGTTTCAGGAAAGCCAGCCGGCGATTCGAAAACAATACTTTTCTGCTTGATATGCTTCTTGACACCAGAGGAGGCTACATCTGATCTAGCACAGACAGATGAGATGTCCGCCAATTTCTGAAGGCAGGGAAAGCTGTCCTGCTAAATGTTAAGGCTCTCATGAAGCTGTCCGATGCCGTCCCGATCCCAGCTCATGCTCTGAGCGCTGGCCATAAGCAGCCAGTTGACTTACAAAACGTTACGGGTGACATGCTTGCAAGCACTTTTGCAAAGAGGACCCGGGGCGGGTGGAAGAGATTCTGCAGGACCTCGGGAAAGCGTTGCCACCTGCGCCGTCATTCGGAGAATGTCTTTGAAGATGCATTGATCTAGTGCAAGCTGCCTGTGCAGGATATGGACAGCAAAGGTGATGTGCGCAACCCCTCTGCATTCATTGTGAAGGCCGGCCGTCAATCTGTCAGTGCTCCAGGAGTTGCAAACGGCAGCCACGACATTTTGAAGAAAGATCCGGCTTCCTATATACCTCCTTCGTGGATGGATGTGGATGCAGCTATCTGCACAGGCGTTGTCCTCCTTCCCTGCACCGCATCAGCCTCGTCTAAGTGTTCGGAAGTGTACTGCGGGAGAGACTGCGCGACACCGGCAACTTGCCACAGAGTCTGCAGACATGTTGATTTCTTATCCGACCAGCTGGGAAGGACTACTGTAGCTGTGAATTTTTTGCGCGACCTCCATAACAAGATTTGCTAGCGCATGCTTGAAAGCAAGGCGCCACGATGCCAATCTCCCACATCGGCAGCCGGGCTCTTACAGTGCTGGGCATGCCTGTGATTTGATGCCTCGGGCTCCAGAAGTAGTGATGGTAAACGCAGGACTGGGATAGTTACTCTCGGGTTGACAACTTACAACCGGAAAACGGGTCCAGCTAGCTCTTGCTGGTGTGCAGACCTTGTGTGAAAACAAAGGTTGCCGGAACCGGAGATGCAGAATGTGGGCGGTTCACAGATGTAGCTTGGAAGCACGACGGCGACATGCTGAAGAATAAGCTCGGAGCGAAGTGTTACTTTAAGGACAATCTACGACGTGCTCGACAGACACCCCGGTTTACAACAGGCCAGACGGTTCCACCTTTGCCAGAGCTATCTGCGCGCATCCCGGCGCAAGGCACTCGACGCATCCGCCTTGCAACGTCTTGAAGAGGCGCTGACTGTGGTGAGCAACTTGCAAGCCTAGACGTCATGTACGTCGTGTGCAGGCAGATTTCGCTCGAGCAGCCGATGTTATCGAAGAGCTGGCACTGCGACCGGATGCCGCAGTCCCAGAACTGTCCCAAGGAGGATTTTCCAAGCAGGGGCCGCTTTGGCGAGTTCAGACGTGCTTTGCTGCCTCACGGAGGTGCGAAACTGCTCGGCCTTTGTCGTGCAAGCACTGAGGCAAGCAACAAGAGAACAGAGAACATGTGAGAGGTTGCCAAATTCCAAGACTTTGGCGTTCGCGCCCGTGTCATTTGGAGGTCCTAGGGATGTTGCACTTTATGTGCTATAGGTAGATGTGTGTGGTGGGAAAGGCAATGGCATAGACTGATTTGGCTTGCCTATGTTGAGTGCTGAATCGGCTTAAGAAACAGCCGTTCGCGGCAAGCTCTGCGGACTTTGGGACTTGCGTAGTGCAGCCTCCACAGGCATGCCGTCGCTCCGACGTACGATGATCACGACGGGGAGGCCTGGTATGCTTCCTTCAGAACTAGCGACGCTTCTTTTTTTGCGACCGACCAAAACGGCTGCCCATGTCTTGATGACCTTCCTGCTCTGGCAGTTCTGCAGGTAGACCGGATTCTCTTGAGATATCCAGCCATTCGTGGGCGCTTGGATAGCCAGGTGGGTGTGCTTGCTGCTGTGTGATTTCCTTTTCAAGATGCAGTGAGCTGCTGCACGATGTTGCTGCAGTCGGACGAGTTGACAACTTGTTTCTAGACATGCACGCGGTTGTTCCGTCAAGGCGCTAATGAAGCTGGCTGATTCTGTCCCGATCTCGGAGTCTGCATGTGTTCGTTATTCTGCGCTGTGTCCCAAAATCTCCGAATGCCAAACAGCATTAGCATACATGCTCTCGGGTCCCGGGCCGCCACCCCCCCCCCCCCCCCCCCGCACCTTGCCCGCCCCTTGACCTTGTGCGCGGATCGGGAGTGTCGCACTATGCCCTGCCGTGTGCGGAAAGCGATTATCGGCTCAGTAGTTTCCAGCATCTGACATGAATGGGGGTTGTATGGTGATGGTGGCAGATATTCTTTCGAAGGTATTGATGATGAAGATGACGACGACAAGGATGATGTTGAGGATGGTCTGATTGTCGACTCATGTCCCGGTCTAGAGCAGCACAACATCATGAGCAGTATCACCGGTGCCACAGCAAGAGGGAAGACAAGGAGTAACACATAAGAACGTCGCGGCAAAAAGAGTACCACCACAGGCCCCACACCACAGGGGGGGCGGGGTGGAAGGGGGGAGGATACCATGGGGTGGGGGGGGGGGGGCCCTGCATCATACATGGCATGCGTTTGGCCAGCTCGTAGCCGCTTCAGAAGCTGTATCTGTGCAACACCTGCGCTCAGTGGCAAAATAAAACAGACCCTGCCATCCGCACACGTCTGCAAAGAGGACCCAGCGCGGGTTGAAGAGATTCTGCAGGACTTCGGGAAAGCGTGGCTACTTGTGCAGTCATTCGGAGCATGTCCTTAAAGACACCTTGATCTGGTGCAAGCTGCCTGTGCAGGATATGGACAGCAAAGGTGATGTGCGCAACCCCTCTGCATTCATAGTGAAGGCCGCCCTCCTGTAGACGTCAGTCTGTCAGTGCCACAGCAGTTGCAAACGGCAGCCTCAACATCTTGAAGAAAGATCCGGCTTCCTATATACCTCCTTCGTGGATGGATGTGGATGCAGCTATCTGCACAGGCGTTGTCCTCCTTCCCTGCGCCGCAGCAGCCTCGTCTAAGTGTTCGGAAGTGTACTGGGGGGATAAGACTGCGCGACACCGGCAACTTGCCACAGACTCGCGAGACTCGTTGGTTTCCTGTTCACATGTGGTGCAGTTTGCTTGATAGCACAACCCACAATCTCACACGAGAGATGAAAAAGCCTCACAGGATGCCATGCTCTGAGGCGCCACGATGCCACTATCCCCAATCAGCAGCCCGGGCACTTACAGCTTGGGTATGCGCGTGATTTGACGGCTCGGGCTTGAGGGTGGGATGCTCAACGCCCGGATGCGGTCATCAGTCTTGAGGCATACACAATGTCCACCGTTTGTCCGGTAGTGGGCTCCTCCTAGCAAGAACGCCTGTACAGTTCGGAGGCAACAATTGACAAAAGCCATCAACAACAGACCTGGGTTTTCGTTCATCCGCCAGGGTATTGGAGGACTCGCTGACATTTCTGTGGGAAAGATTCATCCGCAGTTCTGAGTACTGCACACTGCACTCGAAAGAGGCCTCCGGAACCGGAGATGCAGAAGATGGGCAACTCGTGGATGCACCTTGGAAGCACGATGAAGCACGACAGCATCATGTCGCTGGAAATGTCTAAAGCCTCGAGAAACGCTTGTGCAACTGGTTCGAAAAGGAACAATTGACCTGCTCTCTACATCATGCGTCCCATCCCAGGGCCCCCTCAGTACGCGTCATTGGTAAGGGCTGTGGACAAACACTGTTGAGATGGCAGCGAGAGGCAGCATGAGTTGCCCCGATGTTCAGGTGGCAGGACGAGAGTCCGCTCCATCAGCTGCCGGACACTTACGGAGAAAAGCCTTCAGTGCTGAAGTGGGCGAAGGATCCGAATTTGTTGTTGGGCAGGCTGCCAAGTCTTCATACAGACATCCTGCAATCACTTGGCATGCCAATGCTGCAGATGCACAGTGGCTACCTGTCGTGTAGAACCATTCAATCCGCAATGAAGCCGTTGGTTGCTTCGCATCGCGGCATACCCCTGCTGCGTGGAGCTGTGTACGCCCAGGAGCCAAACTCAAAGAAGATCTCCTGGGTCGTGGGAAGGGACACTATGGCTCTATGTAACGAGACTGGTCAGATCTCCGTCCCAGCATGCCGCTGTGTGCCACCGCCAAGCCACCATGCGACAAGTGAAAGGAAAAAGTGCCACTCAGCGCGGCTCCCCTCACGCGCACCTACACTCGTCTAAAGTCGTGTTAGTGTTTCCACGCTCAGTACTGTATAATTATGTCATTATGTAGGAGTTTTCAATACTTATATATATATATATATATACATTATTGTATGATTTAACGAATCTGTGTATCAGCACCGGTTTTAGCAGTCCCAGGTTGAGCTCAGATCCCGGACTCCGGGAAGCACTTGACGACGGAGCGATGCGCGCCTTGGAGGCTGTGGCTGTGCGTTTTTCGGGCCTGTTTTCGAAGTTGTTTGAAGGACATTTGGGGCTTGCGCCTCTCTGATGCATCTGGGCCTTGTTGCAGCGGTATCTAAGCCTGTGGCACCATCACGTGAAGCCCTCTAATTTAATTTGTGAACTTGTAAACCTAAGCAGCATTGAGGGTGTTAAGTTTGGGGGCTTTGGTGTCGGTGCTGCGGGTCGGCCTCGGTCAAGATGATTGCAGGTGGTAGTCTGGCGAGGCTTGAGTCCAGTAATTAGCAACTGACCCGTCTCGGGTTGAGTTGGCATCGCAGAGGCAATATCAGAGTAAGTAAGGTCAAATTCTAGCTGACTTGGTTGGAGGCATGCGATCCAGAGCGAGCTTTGGAAGTGGTTGCACTCTCCTTACTCGAAGTGGCATGTTTGCTCTCGCGACGTGCTTGCTTTACAGTGCAGAGCTTACAGTTTCTGTTGCATGTGGCTGCGGCCCATCGGGGTTGCGGCACTAGTCATGCAAGTCAGACCCGCCCTCATGGTAGTCGTCATAGGTAGTGTCGGGATCAGCACGTTTGTAGTCATAGCTTTGCAGTAATTTATGCCACAAGCTCAAAGGAAGGAAAAGCATAAGAAGAAGCAGCAGCCGTCACAGTCGGGGTTGGAGTGTAGTAGTGCTAGTACTAGTTGTGGTTGTAGTTGTCGTTGTTAGTGGTAGCAGCAGTAGCAGTAAGCAGACGCAGACGTAGACGGTTTGACGCTTCGAGAGAGAGAGAGAGAGAGAGAGAGAGAGAGAGAGCGACAGACGTAGACGCAGACCCAGACCCAGACCCAGACGAAGAAGCAGGAGCAGCAGTACTGTAGTCCTTGTAGCAAGTAGCAAGTACCAAGTAGTGTGTAGTCTGTAGTATATAGTAAGTAGTACGTGGTAGGCAGTCAGAAGGAAGTAGTAGGTAGTAGGAAGGAGGTAGCAGTGATAGTGGTAGCGGTAGTAGTTGCAGTAGCAGTGGCAGTAGCATGCATTTTGCAACGGGCTGCCTTGATTGCTGGAAACTGCTTGTGCACGTCGAGAAACTTCTGAAGCTCCATCCATGAACGTGTGAAAGCTGTGCACTTTGAAGCTTGTCTTCAGAAGCCGAAAATTTCCTCAGTAGCAGTAGCAGTAGTAGGTTGTAGTAGTTGTCGTAGTAGTAGTAGTAGTAGTAGTAGTAGTAGTAGTAGTAGTAGTAGTAGTAGTAGTAATCATGGGCTCGGTTCCTGCCCCTATCGATGTAGTACCAGCAGTTAGTAGCAGAAGCAGCAGCAGTAGCAGCAGTACTTGTAGCACTAGCAGTGGTACCTAGTCATCGTCGTAGTAGTAGCAGGAGGCGCAGAAAGACAGCAGTAGCAGTCGCCATCAGTAGCCGTAGCAGTAGCCGTCATCGTCGTCGTATCGTAGCAGCTGCAGCAGAAGGAAGCAGGCCCAAAATATAGGTACGCCGAACATTCAAAGCATCAATGGGAGACAAAGGAGAGGAAACCATGTAGGCGGAAAGGTTCATGCAGATCGAAAAACAGCCATCATGTCTTGCATCCATGACCCGACCAAGGAGGACATCATCAAAAAGGGCGATGCCAAAGCCCCATATCAATGGAATTTCTTGGTCGGGCAGAGTAGTGCAGAGACATACCTTTATGCTTTCCGCAGTAGCGCCAGTGTCTCCTTATGCTCTGACCCGCTGTGACCTGCAAAGGTTCGCAATCCTTCAGCCTTCGTAGCCGCCAGCTTGGCCAAATACCCGCAGTTCAGAGCTCGGATTTCCTCCCGCTGTTTGATACTCCTTTGTGGTTTGCTTCTGACGGCAGCAGCAGTAGGCACTTTCGGGGGCAGGTCCTTGCGATCGGGACAGTGGGAAATTGATGTTTTGCGCCGAGAGGCGTGATAAGCATGCAAGCAGGGAAACGAGCCGAATACAGAATCACTATAGCTGGAGGCTCCCATCTCGCCATTTCAGCCTGTGAAGGTGCCAAGGTTTACGGCTGCCCTTCATCGGCCAACTTACACCCCCCCACCCCCACCCTGAGATTTAAAAGATCGCCCAAGTTTCTGGGTAATGGGTAGATTTTTAATTGAATTTGATTTTGCAGTGGATTTAAAATCTTTTCGGTTTTAATATAAACTCGCTTCTTGAAGAAATATGATTACAAATAGAGTTGATTAAACTCTTTTTCTGTTTTTAATAAAAATTCTTTAGTTTTTTAAAAATATGGTCTCTCAAAAAAATCCTGGCTCGATTAGGGGAGTCGAGAACTGCTTACAAAGCCTCTTTAAATTGCTTTTGCCGGGGGTGGGGGTTGATAATTCGCTGGCAAGCCCTTAGCGCAAACCAGAGCATGCTCGAAATGATGTTGGTGAATACGGAACACAGTGATTTCTGCGCAGACTCTATTTCTTCAGGCCCCGTGGCACACGCTCAGAGGAACTCTGGACGAGGCCAGGCTATGTTTCCAGGCATTTCGACCAGACTGCTTTGTTGATGCTGCTTCGCCAATCAATGATGATATTTGTACCGTTCGCAAGCACAAAATGTGCAAACAGCCGCCCACAGCTGAGGCCAGCGCAGCCACCACCACCCGTGGCCATCCCTCGCCCCTCGGTGAGATCGCCGCCTTGGGCCAAGTGTCACATGATGCCCAGCTACTTCTATTTGTGCTACCGCTTTCGACTCCGACTCCTCCTGCTGCTACAGACTGCTATTGCTACTGCTGCTGATGCTACTGCTACTGCTACTGCTGCTGCTGCTCCTACAAGTACTGCAGCTGCTGTTACAGTACTCCTCCTGCTCCTACTGCTGCTGCTATTGTTACTACTTGCTTCTGCTACTGCTACTGCCGCCGCTACTGCTGCAGCTCCCTTTACCGCCATGGGTTACCACTGCCGCTGTCGCTGCTGTTCCTACTGTTTCTCCTGTCGCCACTGCAAGATCGTGATAGCTACTATCGAAGTCCTGATGGTGATCAGTAAAGAGGAGGGGTCTGCGAAGCTGTTGGCGGATGTTTTCAGCAGTCACATCGAGTCCCTTGAAGCTGCTGTGCGTCAGACCCCGCCTCCCGTAAGTCAGTGTAGCCCTACTGAGCTCCCGAGGCCGTGGCCGCCAGCCCGGCCGCAGGCCTCACACTATCTATCTATCTATCTGTATGTATATATATATACACATATATATATATATATGCATATATGCATATATATATATATATATATATATATATTTATACATATATATATATATATATAGACATATATATATATATATATATATATAGATTACACTCCTACCGACTTCGTCATAGGCTTCCTGGTTTGAACCTTCGGGGAAAGCCAGATGGCTGAAAGCATACAGTAAGAAGGTGTAGCTGCTGTAGCTGGGTAAAGCCGGGCATCATGTCCACCACGGATCACTGCAGTTTGATGATTCCGCATTGCAGGTCCATCGATCAAGGCTGGTGTCTCAGGATAGTCTCTCCAGAAATCTCGGAGTGAATTGTGAAGCAAAACATGCTGCCATCCCAGAGAGTCACGAGCTACATGGCTACATGGTAGTTGGTGGGCAGCACATGTTTCATTCGCGAACCCGCCGCTGTTAGCTGATCATCTGACCCACATGTTTGCCAACTTGTCTCCATGGTGAACCAGAATGTCGAGGGCGTTGGTGGGAGTTCATCTGGCTCTGTGCTACTTGGCGGCGGCGCATGGCTCAGCCGAAGGGAACATTCGTGGCACTTCCCATGCCAGATTCCTCGACGTTCAGTACTTCAACCGGACAGATGTGGACAGCCTCTTGGCACGGCAGATGACTCATGACCTGAAGAACACCCCGCGACTTCGGCATCTTCGTGTGGACTTGGAGCCGATTTTCCGGACCCTCGCCAAAACGCCGAATGGTGGCCTCAGCCACCAAGCAGCCAAGTATGCACTCTTCCGATTCTTCCTCCACGAGCGCAGCTGGCTGGTCAAGGGCCTCGAACCCGAAGGCCGATTCTAGAGTCTAGAGCGTCTGTCGCGGCCTCTCCAATCCTTACAGTTTCAAAGCCCTGTGATTTGGAGGCATTTGGCAGACACAGCCGGAGCGGCTCCGCAAAGAGCCTCGGTCCAGACCGCAAAGTTTGGGGCTTGCGCGAGGTTTAGGTCCCCAACCAAGCACTATCTGGAGGTCAGGTTCAATCTCTCATGCAGGGGCACTCGTAGCGCAGCTCAGGTTTGGGAGAGTTGGGTTCCGTCGTACCTGCAGCAGCGCTTCGAAGAGGCCAAGCAGAGCGAAGGCCCAATCGAAAAGTTTCCGGCTTAACTCATCCCTTGACTTCATCCCCCGAGGTGCATCCTTGGACGACTTGGTTGAAATGATCGCGGTCATTGAAGATCTTGTGCAACAGGCAGGAGGTTCTCGTTACTGTTGGGAGCTCTCTGAACCCCTTCCTATGGCCCCATTTGGGAGACCTTGCTTTCGTAATTGTAGCTTGGCTTCCAGTTGCAGTTGCAAAACGGCGGGGTCTCTGGTCACTTCAATTTCGGCTCAGGCAAATAACGTTTAGTCGTTTCACTGCCGAGAGAAGCACCGAGTGAACTAGGCTATTGCATTCAAGAGTCAGCTTGGACAGACATCTCTTGCTGAATTCAGAGGAGTCCCGGAAACAGATGGCAAAGGTCTTTGAGTCGCTGGACCTTCCCTTGACACCGGTCCAGGAAGATAAGCCAAGACCCGTGTTTCTTTTGCTGCTGACAAAGATTAATTAATCAAGTGAGTGGGGCATGAAGCACTAAGGAATGGTCCGCTAAGTCGGGCAGATGCCGATATGGCAGTCGTCCAGCACTCAGCTCTGCTGAGTTTGTGCATCCGTGTTTCTTCGAGCACACCCGTGCAGAAGCATTTCAAAGTAATAAATGACTGAGGACATGTACCTTCTAGTGGTTTTGACTGCGCAGAACCTCACGCTCGCAGAGCCGGCCAAGAACCGCAAGCGCGTGGGCAGACTGCATCGCACAGTGGAGCACGGCGAGGCCCTGAGGTGGCTACGGCATTTGGAAGACAGGCACGGAATTTCCAAACTAGCTTGCAGATTCGTCTTCCCTTGTCCACAGGGATGCAGTAGGCAGTAGATTGTGCGACTGTCGATCCCAGCCCGGCCCAAAACTATTCCCAACGGACGCCTGAAACCTGCGCAGGATTCTCGTGGAGCAGGGCAATGTCTATGACTTCGCGTCAATCAGCAAAGTTGCAGAGGCTTTTGGGCTGGAGTTCCCGAGCTTCAACGACAAGGAGAGCTTTTGCACAAGGAAAGTGATACCCAGCTTATCGATCACGATATGGATATGAGGATAGCCTTACTGGAGCGCAGGTACAATGATCCCCTTTGCACCCCCTCAACCCCTTCTGCTTCGCAGGAATGCTCGGATCTCAAGGCCTGGCCCGGGAAGGCTTTGCTGATTTCCATAGCTCTGGGTCAAAGTGGGTATAGGCCCCAACGGCAAACCTCGGAACAGCCGTTTGTGGTACAGCAGTTGGGGCATGAGGCCTCTGCAAAAGTGACTTGTGGCACACACAAGGATCCTGCTGCGAGAACGTGCTTGCAGTCGGCTTCTGTATTTCGTACATGTCCTACTGAGTCCTACTGTCTCTTTCGACATCGAAAGTTATGCATCAAGAGTACGTAAATTGATGCATTGCTGCAGTTTCCGCTAAGTCGCTTGTTCAGTGTATCGAGGCACGGCTCGTGTCCATGGAGGGTGGAAGCCGCAAACCTGGAAGCTGGGCATCGAAGTCTCTCACAGACATGATTGCAGCCATAGACGTGTGTAGTCTATCTCTGCATATGTGTATATACATAGGTGTGTATATAATATATATATATATATATACATTTAACACATCACAAACCCACCATAAAACACATACATACACACATTTAGAGATGTTCATGTATACTTAGTCACATCTGTTGGCGTGCACAAATGTTCCAAACCTCCAACGCCTAAAAATGTGGAAACCGCGGTCCCGCGAATCCAGGCATTGCTGTAGCACTTCCGCCGAATCAGAGGCATAATGTAAAGTTTCACGCCTTCTGCCTGCTGTTCGTTGGTAGCTACAAGTAGTGGTAGACTTTTGTTTGCTTCTTTGCATAGAGCTTCCATGTCGTTCACATTTCGAAGACGTTGATTCCGTCTTTCCCCTGACCCAAGGCCGAATACCCTTGACAGACTTCTATGGAAGCATCGCATACCGGCACTGGAACTTCTCGGAGAGCCCAGACTACCTGCGCAATCCGGCGGCACATTTGTTTTGAGTTCTGAATAGTTACTAGCAAGATGGCGTCCAAGTCTCCCGCTGCCTTGGAAGGAGACCTGGGCGTGCTGGACGAATCCGATCCCCATCGGCCACATGTCATCTTGGCAAACTACATCACAAGCGCTGGCCCAAGATGGATTTATTGCTCTAGCGAGCTGCTCTAGAGCTCATCGGATCATATCGGGTCGCAGCTGAGGCTACAACAACTGCATGCGAACGGATGGTTTGTACGCGATTTGCTGCCGCAGCGTTTGCGGAGACATGATGAGTGCCATCGAGGAGCAGGCACACTCTGGCTCTGCTTGTGCATACGGCCTAGCTTGTCACATCGTGCGGTGCCTCTACAGCCAAACTAAAGCACAAGTAGTTCCCGTGCATCCTAGAGGCTTTGCATGTTGCGAAGCCCTGCAGCACTCAACGCAATCTCCTGCAAGCCTGGCGCAATCGCTACAACTAGCTCACCATACGTCGTCTGCACAGTCTGGCGATGAAGCCGTATGCTTCGCAAATACCCGCGAGTCGAAACTGTTGTACTTCGTAGCCATTCTGGCTGAAGAAATTCTGGCTCTCAGAAGCTCCCTGTAGTCTGCGCTGTATGTGCGATTGGCCTGAAAGTCCGGAGAAGATGGGTTGGGATTTTGTGGGCTTCGAGGGCGTCGAGGCCATGGATGCGAAGCCGACATCGGGTCAACCCATGGACTTCCTTCGGTGGCTGAATGCGCGGAGGAAGTGCAACCTTGAGTTGGTCGACGGCACGGTGCTCAAGGGCTACTCCTTCGGTGCTCCGGTCTCTGTGTCCGGTGAAGTTGTCTTCAACACCGGGATGGTGGCATACCCGGAGTCCTTGACAGATCCGTCCTATGCGGGGCAGATCCTGGTCATCACCTATCCGCTGGTAGGGAACTACGGCGTGCCCTCTGATGAGAAGGATGAGTTTGGACTTCCCAAGTGGTTCGAAAGTCACAAGATCCATCTGAAGGGAGTCGTGATTTCCGACTACTCCTACGAACCTTCGCATTACAGCTGCGTTAGGACGTTGGGACAGTGGCTCGAGTCGCAAGGAGTTCCAGGCATCTATGCTGTGGACACTCGGCTCGTGACCAAGCAGATTCGCGAGACTGGTTCCTTGTTGGGAAAGCTCATCGTGCAGGGAAGCACGCCGAGTTCCCACGTTCCCGTGGACGATCCAAACAAAAGGAATCTTGTGGCAGAGGTGTCAAGAACACAGAAAGAAGTCTTTGCGCCTTCGCAGCCAAATCCTCGTTTGAACCGAGATGTGCACGTCCTGGCCGTGGATTGTGGTATGAAGAACAACATCATCCGCTGCCTCGTAAAGCTTGGGCTTCGAGTCACCGTGGTGCCATGGGATTACGATTTCACACAGGACAGCTTCGATGGCCTCTTCCTCAGCAACGGCCCAGGAGACCCCACCCAGTGTGCCAAAACTGTGGAGCATGTGAAGACCATCATGAGGGAGCGGCCGAAGACACCCATCTTCGGAATCTGCCTTGGGAATCTTGTCCGCCGTCATTCAGTTCATGAAGTCTAAGAGGTCCCTGCAAAGTAGTCGGTACACGCGTTATGAAGCAAAGCTAAGGAATCAGATTCTGGCCTTGGCCGCGGGAGCATCCACTTACAAGATGAAGTTCGGGAACCGCGGAATGAACCAGCCAGTCGTGGATTTGCGCACACAGAAGTGCTACATCACAGCCCAGAATCATGGCTATGCCGTGGACAGCTCCAGCTTACCCGAGAACTGGGTACCACTTATGATGAATGCTAACGACGGCACGAACGAGGGCATCATCCACTCTTCCAAGCCGTGGTTCTCGGTGCAGTTCCATCCAGAGGCATGCGGAGGGCCTACGGACACTGACTTTCTGTTTGACTACTTCCTGCAGTTCATTGCTGAGCCTACTGCCTCGCCTGTGACCACGATGCCTTACTCCATTCCGACGGTCTACAGGAAGGTGCTGGTGTTGGGATCTGGTGGCCTCACCATCGGGCAGGCAGGTGAGTTTGACTATTCTGGCAGCCAGGCCATCAAAGCCTTGAAGGAGGCCGGTATCATGTCCATTCTCATCAACCCGAACATTGCTACGGTTCAGACATCAGCTGGCATGGCAGACAGGGTTTACTTTCTTCCCGTAACCCCTGATTTTGTGATCAAAGTGATCGAGCGTGAGAAGCCAGATGGGATTTTTGCAGCGTTTGGGGGTCAAACGGCTCTCAATTGTGCCGTGAAGCTGCACGAGCGAGGGGTCTTTGAGAAGTACAATGTCAAGGTGCTGGGTACCCAGATTGAGGCCATCATGAAGACCGAGGACCGTGACCTGTTCAGCAAGGTGGTGGAAGCCTGCGGCGAAAAGATCGCCGAGAGTGCCTGCTGCGACTGTGTGGCAGATGCGGTGGTGGCGGCGGGACAGATCGGCTACCCGGTGTTGGTCCGGGCAGCCTATGCCCTTGGTGGTCTTGGCAGTGGCTTCGCCGACAACGAGGAAGAGCTGCGGAGGCTGGTCAATGTGGCCTTGGTCAACAGCCCGCAGGTGATCATCGACAAGTCCCTTAAGGGTTGGAAGGAGCTTGAGTACGAGGTCGTGCGGGACAAGAACGACAACTGCATCACGGTCTGTAACATGGAGAACTTTGACCCCATGGGCGTCCACACCGGCGAGTCCATTGTCATTGCACCCTCCCAGACGCTGACCAACGCCGAGTATTATCGTCTTCGACAGTGCGCCTTGAAGGTTATTCGGCACCTTGGAATTGTCGGCGAGTGCAACATTCAGTACGCCATGGACACGAAGACCTCTGAGTTCCGCATCATTGAGGTCAATGCCCGGCTGTCTCGAAGTAGTGCTCTTGCATCCAAGGCCACTGGCTATCCGCTGGCTTATGTCGCTGCAAAGCTGGCGCTGGGCCACGACCTAGTCCAGCTGAGGAACAGTGTCACCAAGTGTACGACTGCATGCTTTGAGCCCTCCCTTGACTACTGTGTTGCAAAGGTGCCGCGCTGGGACCTGCAGAAGTTCTCCACCGTCGATGCCCGCATTGGTTCTGCAATGCAAAGCGTAGGAGAGGTCATGGCCATCGGGCGCACATTCGAGGAGACCATCCAGAAAGCATTACGCATGGTGGATGATGCAAGCCTGGGATTTGACCCTATTCGTTACGATTTGGAGCTCGGCCGGCGTGGCTTAGCCACCTCGGGTCCAAACCTTGATGCGGAGCTCAAGAAGGAACTGGCCAACCCGACTCCCGTGCGAATGTGGGCTATTGCCAAAGCCTTCGAGCATGGCATGAATGTCGAAGAGGTTCACACGTTGACCAACATTGATCGCTGGTTCCTGTCGAAGCTGCATGGCCTGCACATGCTGAAGGGTACGATGAAGTCATTGGACTTTTATGCACTGCGGCAGAATCCAGTGCTCCTTAAGGAGGCGAAGACCCGTGGTTTCTCCGACAAGCAGATTGCTGCGATCATTTCTGCTCCAGAGAAAATCATTGACAGCGAGATTTCCCCGCACCTGTTGCCAACTGATCATGGCTCTCAGCGCTACTCTGGAGGTCCGGTGTCTGAAGCTCATGTCCGGCACCTTCGCAAGAAGTTGGGTATCGTCCCGACCGTCAAGCAAATCGACACGTTGGCGGCAGAGTTCCCCGCCACTACCAACTACCTCTACGTGACCTACAGTGGAGATGAGCACGACCTGGAACTGGCGGGGAGTACGAAGCAGTGCTCCGATCTACCAGGAACGGAGCTAATTTCGGGCTACGCGATTCCAGAACCACTTGCACTCAATTTCCAGAGCTCTTCTGATGTAATGCAGCAGAGCAGCAAGGCAAGCAAGGATGTCGATGCCGACTCCAGAATTGTCGTGCTCGGTTGCGGGCCTTACAGGATCGGCAGCAGTGTTGAGTTCGACTGGTGCAGCGTCTCCTGCATTCGCACCCTTCGATCGCTGGGTCATACGGCCATTGTTATCAACTGCAACCCCGAGACTGTTTCGACAGATTTCGATGAGTCAGATCGACTCTACTTCGAAGAGCTTAGTCACGAGCGTGTTATGGACATCGCTGAACTGGAAGATCCACGAGGCGTGGTGATTTCAGTCGGTGGCCAGACCCCGAACAACTTGGCCTTGGGATTGCACAAGTGTGGAATCCGTATTCTTGGCACATCTGTTGAGGCCATCGATGCCTGCGAGGATCGTAACAAGTTCAGCCAGCTTTGCGACTCCCTGCGCATTGATCAGCCAGAGTGGTCCCAGTTTGCGACATTGCAGGAAGCCCGTCAATTCTGCAAGGTGGCAGGCTATCCGGTTCTGGTGCGTCCTTCGTACGTCCTCTCCGGTGCTGCCATGCGTGTGGTCACCAACGACGGCGACCTGGACATGTTCCTGAAGACAGCAGCCGTGGTAAGCCGAGACCACCCTGTGGTAATCTCGAAGTACATCACTGGGGCGAAGGAGGTCGAGATGGATGGCGTGGGCAAGTCAGGAGACCTTGTGAACTATGCCATTGCAGAGCATGTGGAGAATGCTGGCGTCCACAGTGGAGACGCCACGCTGCTCCTTCCGGCCCAGCGCCTGTTCGTAGAGACCCATCGCAAGGTCAAGAGCATCTCGCAGAAGCTCTGCCGTGCTCTCAAGATTTCGGGGCCGTTCAACATCCAGTTCATTTGCAAAGACAACGAAGTGAAGGTGATCGAGTGCAACCTTCGGGCATCCAGATCCATGCCTTTCATTTCCAAGACCTACAACGTGAATTTCATCGAGCTGGCGACCCGCATCATGACTGGGATGCCTGTGCATCCTGCAATTATCCAGCCGATGGACATCGACTTCGTAGCATGCAAGGTTCCGATGTTCTCCTTTGGCCGTCTGAAGAACTCTGATCCCCGACTTGGTGTCGAAATGTCTTCAACCGGTGAGGTGGCATGCTTCGGAGTCAACGCCTACGAGGCGTTCTTGAAGGGCATGATGGCAGCGAACTTCAAGCTGCCGACAAAGAACATTCTAGTTTCCATCGGTCCTGCTGCTGCAAAAGCCGAGTTCCTGGCAAGCGGTGCTGCGAAGCAGCTTCAGGACATGGGCTTCACCCTCTTTGCCACGAAGAACACACACGAGTACCTGACGACCACCGGCGAACTTTCTTGCAGCTTGGTCTACAAGCCCCTGATCAAAAGAGAACCGAACGTGCTAACGATGCTGCAGACGGGCAAGATCGATTTGGTTATCGATGTCCCGGACTCCATGGACTCCGACGCCCTCACAGATGGTTTCAAAATTCGACGGGGTGCCATCGAAGCAGCTGTGTCGCTCATCACTGACATCAAGACCGCAATCTTCACCTGCTCCGCCTTGCACCGGAAGTGGGTCCGAGAAAGCAGCGGCAAGCCCTTCTGGGATGTGTGTTCCTGGCAAGAGTATGTAGAAATTGTGGAGAGGCTCAGCTAAGACATCTAGCCTCAGCTTTGGTGCTTGATTGTGCCGTTATGTGCCATGCACAGGTCTTGTACAAAGAACTGAAGCCGTGCGCTTCTTAGCTGCTCCCGTGCCACGCTCGCCTAAGCCAGCTAGCAG